AAAGGGGAGAGAAGTGATAGGAGTTTAACTTACTCTGGTTCTTTTTCCTGTGGCGCTCATTCCCCCCCATAGACCCCGGGCCCTTCGGGGCGGCGGGGGGAATTCTGGGAGTTGAAGTCCACACATCTTAAAGTTGTCAAGGTTGAAGAATATTGCAGTAGAATACCGATCTCATGACCAAAGCAAAGAACAAGAGTGCAGACTGAAAGGTGAGCGCTACCAATCATGAAGCTTCATCGCCATTCCCTGAGGTGAGTCTGAAAGTAACAGGACAGCTTCAAAATGTGTGATGCGCCTGCTAATGAAAGCCTGCTTCTTTTTAGGCTTCGTTCTGTGGCAATTCCTAATATATCTCTCGTGCCCAGAAAAGCATCGCATTATTGAAAATATCATGTACATCATTTCCATGGGCTCAGAAAACAGAATCTGGCATCTGCTGCAAGTCCTGCTTGTTACCCTCCCACATTTTAAGACTAAAATCAGGTTGCTACATCTATTTAGAAAGGCGTTTTTGTTGTAGGATAATTAAAAAAAACACACACACACAGTTAGGGCACTGCCCTTGCAAGAAGATCACAGTATTGGGCCACTCTGCACAAAAATGGAACCATGAAAAGCTTCCAATGTGTGGAAGCTTTGAGAAATTTCTTGGACCAGGAAGGCAAGATTTATGTTAGTTTCTTCTAGCAATTCAAACAAAAATTATTGTATTAGATGAAATGAATTATTTTATATGGTTAAGAAAAGCAACATCTACATATTTCCTGTGAATAATTTATGGGGGTTTTTTGTGTATGACTTTGGTTGTTGTTTCAGTAACACAAAAAAAGAATTACACAGACCCTTCCATGTCCATCACATACTGTTGGCATGGCTGAATCAGACAGGCCAATGGTCTAACTCTGTATTCAGCAGTTTCCCGTGTCCCCCTCCTTCAAAACAATTACTATTTTTATAAAAACAGCAGAAGAAGTAAGGGTCCAGAATATGGCCTAGGCAGACAGAAAACATCGTGTGTTTCATTAAGAGAAACAGCAAAGAGCACCTGAAAGATGAAGACATTTATTGTCATAGAAGGGATAATGTATTATTGCAAAGCAGCCGACTTCATCAGAAGTATGGGAAGGGATCATTTGATTAGGAAAAATTCCCCCTCCTCTTTCCATGGAGCAAACTGGAAGGAACCCACACACTCAAGCTGCCTCGGTTCAGCAGCCAAGTGAGTGGAAACAGTCGCCAAAGGGAGTCGAAATAGCGTCTTGCCCTATTCTCAACATGAATGTACATGAGTTCCCATACACAAAACTTCACAAAGCCATACGACGTGTTTTTTTCTGTCCTTGATCACCTGATCTGGCTAAAATTCAATTCCATTTATTCTAACAATTAGCCCTGTATTCCCCCTATGCTGCCACTCCTTTTAATTCTTGCTAAGAACTAAATATTCAAGATGTGGCAGAAGAGAACAAACAATGAATGCGCTGTGTCCTAAATGTGAAACATTTTTCACCTGAAATTATTTCTATTCATACGGATGTGCTGTAATTGAATCTCATCCATTGTTCTTCTACTTGATGTAATGCTTTTCATCTTTTCCCCATAAGAGGCACCTAGAGCCTGACTCAACAGACAAAATTATCAAGCAATCCAAAGATGCCATTCCTTAACCTCAGGCGCCTCATCTTTTGGCTAAACTTGAAGAAAAAATATGTATTTCTAAGGTTTAAGCAGGGCTTCACTTAAATCAAATCAGAAATATCAGGGCTCCCCATTATCTAACAAGTGAACACCACCTGTGCCTCCAAAAGGAAATTTCATAAATGTATTCCATAGCTTTATGAGGTAAAAATATAAAAGCAGGCCCACTGCCCTATGTGGACCCACATACCTAAGGCACAACAGAAGGGCAAAATGAATTGATCAGGGTTTTCCATGTGTATAAACATTTATTATTTTAAAAGCCTTTTGATAACATAGTCTGTGGAATATTTTCACAGAATGCTTTTACTAAGACTGTTGTGAAGTGCCTTGGATTTTACATTTTAAGCAAAAATAACAGTATGTCTACACAGCAATTGTTAAGCTTATTTAATGGCCAGCACAAGTTATATCTCCTCTGGAAGTCAACCAGAGTGTTGCTTGTCTAGCCGTTAAATATTTCTATCCAACTCGTACTTCAGTTTGAGTGTAGGCATATGAGGAGAAATTCCTACAGACTGTTGCAATTACATTCTCAATACGTAATGATCCAGAATGAAAAATATACACAGAAGAAATCAATAAATATGGTAATAAGAGAAAAAATTCCTTTGCTGGCAATTTTTGTCAGATGCAAATGCAAAATGAGAAATATTTTCTACAGGGAGTATTTGGGGCAGCTTATTCCACCATCCCCACAATTATTTTACACAAAAATGAAAGGGTATTTCTCAGAGGACAGACTGTTACCGGTAAGTAGAAAGAGAAAGCAAAAAAAATTTAAGTGATCATGGAATTCTGTATACTATACTATTACAGAAAAAAGTAATCAGAAACTGTAATGACCGTATTTATTTATTTATGTGTTTATGTATTTAATAAACCCTGAAGCTCAACACGGCCCCACAGATACCAGCCATGAAAGCCTACACTAGTATACTGTATTTCTGCTTTCTTTTAAAATGGTAGATACTTAAAAGGACATATCTACAGAAAAGTCTGAAAGCAGTATCTAGATTAGAGCACACAAAGCCTGGCCTTATATATTATGGTTTCTTAACTATGGTTTGCTCAATAAAACACAATGGCTAGGTTTACTAATTAAAGCAGCTTTTGCCTTATTACATTTGATGAACTCAATCAGACACTCCCACCAATTTAACCATGGTTAAACAATTTCAAATTAGCTACTGAGCCTCGGGTCTTCTGTTTTGTATCTCAACTATGTCCTATTTCCTTTATGATCCTTCACCGCAGTTTTAAATATTACAATAGCAACATTAACCAAAATCTCAGACCTCTAATAACAGTGCCAATATAACTTAAACTGATGAAAAAAATGGG